GGTAATTTGTGGAACATATAACTGGGTCCACTCTTCTGCACCCAGCTTTTGAAACTTGCTGACTTTCAGAGACTGATACAGCAGCCACGAGGATCTCCCTCAAGCTGGATACTGGCTGTCCTTATAAAGCCTTAGATGGCTGCGTCATAATTTATTTAACTAGGCCCCCGGATGATGGACATTTAAACACTAGCTCATCTTGCAACTACAAACAATGCAACAATAAATATCCTTATACAAACAAACTGTGCTCTTGCTCATGTAGGATAAATTCCTACTAGTACAATTGCTGGGCCAGTGTGAGCGGATTTGAAATGTTAATACATCTCACTGAAGGGTTTTTCAAACAAATAAGACCAATTGACAACAATGACAGCCCAGAAAGGACCCATCCTGTCCTTTTCTTACTTGGTTGGTCTAAGCTCTCACACTGCAGAAGTGAGTGGCCTCATCTCAGATGTCCAGGAGGACCAGCCTTTCCCAGCTCTGCCCACCAGACACTGTGCTCCCAGCATGCTCTGCATTTGCCTCCACTTTCCCCAGAACATTGCTGTCCTGTCTTGAGCCTGTCTCCCACACTAGACCACGAGCTTTTGCTCTGAGGAAGGCACCAAGCTTCATTCAGGTCTTGCAGGTCCTGGTTGAAGATACCATAGGCAGCAGCTCAATAAATACTTGCTGAATTAAACAAAGCTGAGCATGGCAGTGCATGCCTATAATCCTAGCACTCAGGAGGTTGAGGCAGGAGGATTGAAGCAAGTTCAACCCAGCCTGGGCCACAAAGTGAGAGTCTGTCTCAAAGCACCGAAGGAAACAGCAGCAGCAGCAGCAACAACAACAACAACAAAACCTAGCCCACTGTGCTTCTCCAGCGTGCTTGCTGAACACAAGCGTGGTCCTCATTGGGCACGCCTTGCTTAGCTCCCTTGGGTCCCTGAAGATTGGTTGCACATACTTACGCCCTAGTCTCTACTTGCCTTGGTGTTGGCTTCCAGACAAATGCCTGTCTCTGTGAGCAGATTCTGTCTCCTCATCCTCCCTCTGGAAAGAGTCCTTCTAGGTAACTGGGTATTATTTCTCCTTTTCCTGACATCACAAAGTTCAGTGTCCTCTTGCCTCCAGATCCCAAGTTGCTTCTGTAGTGTGCAGGTGGCCAGCCATTAAAAGACGAGAGAACCTAAACCAGATCTGGCTGGAGTCAGCTCTAAGTCTTCCACTGACGTTTAGATCCCTGCTGACTCCCAGCTACTGGAAGTTAAAACCTAAGACTGGGGTTAAGATATTCCTGTTTCCCCTCCCCCACCATCCTCCTGCTCTGGCTGGGATTTCAACCAGCTTCTGAACCTTGTCTCATTGTCACTCTCTTTAGGGATTAACAAAAGGGGCCAGGGAAATCCCTGCATGGAAGTGGCCTGGGGAAGTGGGAGCCAAAGGACTTCTTGGGATATTCAAGAATGGAGGCAGGATATAGGAATGGGGCTCATAAAGTTCCATTCTGTAGATGCCATATGGTATGTGGAAAGGTGGCTCGGGGACCCCACATCCCAACTTGCCCCATGACAGGCTTGTCCAAGGCTGGGGCACGGTAGGCAAATGTTATTAGCTGCATGTTAGTCTGAGGCTCAACCCAGGCCAGAGAGGGGACACACTGAGGCTGGTAGCTATGCATTTCTCACGTTCATATAACCATCTTACATCCCCAGGCCCTGAGCCCCAGAATGGCCTTGAAACGCTAGCATTTTGGCATAACAAGCAGAAAGTTGGATAGCATGAGAAAGTACAAGGGAGGAAAAGTGTGGGGTACCCAGAGGCCGGTAGTAGAGTGGGGGCTGAGAGTATGCTCATGAAAGCCTAACTGGGTGGGGCCACAGAGCTCCTACTGGGTTCTTGCTGCACACATGAGTGAATATATGTGCACACTCCACCCCATCCACGCCCATACTCCCACCCCACCTACCTTGGGAGAGGAATCCAATCGATCAGCCAGGGCATGCCTGGGCTTGGTAGTGCACACCTTTAATCCCAGCATTTGGGGGGCAGAGGCAGATGGATCTCTGTGAGTTCTAAGCCAGTCTGGTCTACATAGCGAGACTTTGTCTCAAAATAATAAACTGAAATAAAATAAAATACAACAGGGAACAAAAGGGTATCATCAGAACATTCATTTCCAGAGATGGAACATGAAGCTTGTTAAAAGAACAGAATTGGGACAGGGACAGAATTGGGAAGGACGTTTCAAGATGTGGCCCCTAGGCCTATAGGTGGATTTTGGTGGAAGAGAGAACCAACTGCCGCCTTTGAACACAGGAAGAGCCTTATGACTGTAGTTTTAGTGCCAGCTGGGGCACCACCTCTCTGGTGCTCCCTGGCAAGACATAGTGGTTTATGCTGCAAATTAGTGACCAAAATTTGGAGGTACTTACTCCATGACCAGAAAATAAGGCCAGAATCCATGAAATAGTTTTCTCTCAAAAATGACTATTTTGCCAGGCATGGTGGTATGTGCCTGCAATGCCAGCACTTGGGAGGCAGAACAGGAGTGTGAGACCTGGCTGGCTACATAGAGAGTTCCAGGCCAGCCATGGCTAGAGTCCTGTCTCAAAAACAAAAGAATGCTCCATGTCTAGAGGCCCCAAGGCCTGCTGTTCTAGAATCATGGCTGTGGGGGCCAATGATGAGTTTGCTGTGCTTGAAACAGAAATTGCCTGATCACTAGCCAGCCATTTGAGATATTTCAAATGACAGGCACAAAGTGGGCCTAGGGTACTGCTAAGTGTACCATTTAGAGTTCTCCATTACAAGCAACAGAAAGCAACTAATAAAGAAAACGTGTACTGGAAAGCGAGGGGTGTGCTTCAGGGAGTCATCAGGGAGGCTGGACAGACAGACAGATATAGCCCACCACTGGAACTGTAGCCTACAGTAGGATCTGCAGGGGCCCCACACCACTGTCTGAGTTGTCACCACCGCTGCCATCACCACCCAGAGCAAATGCTTCTGGACTCCTGCTCTTCAGACATCTTCCAAAGTTCAAGGCCTGGAAGTAGGTGTTTGATGGCCATAGGTCTGAGTCCAAAGCTGCTCAGGGTCCCAGATGCACCACGTCTTGTTTCTCCACCGGACTGCAATGGCAGGTTTTTCCAACCAGCAGCAGGCCTTTGAGGTCAAGTGTCCCCTGCTTTGAACTGACTCTTCCTGAAAGGGAAATCAGGTCACTGCTACATCATGGGAACAAGAACATGATCAATATCCAAGGGTGGCCCTAAAATACTTCCTTGTGTGGTACCAGTCAGGGCACAGAAAAAGTTCATGGCAAACCACCAGAACCCACCAAAAAGGCCCTGTTTGGACTCAGAGCTGGAGTCTCCATGACCAGCTGAATTGCTGGGCAAAGGCCCAGAAAACAGAAGGGCTGGTGAGGAATGACGTCGTCTCAGTCTGGCCAGTTGCAGCAAAAATGCCTGTGGCTTCACCCCATGCTTCTGTTAGTGCAGTGGGAGAAAATTAACCTCTATTAGGCAACTTTTAAAATTTTATCTTCAGGCTAGCTACCAGCGAATATTGATGAAAATTCAGTGACAAAAAAAACAAAGGCTCTCTATCAGATGAAAGGCCAATAGCCCCCTTCCCCATTCTTCTGCACCAATTCTCTATCCCTACACAGAGGCATCTTGTACCATCAGTCAGGTATGTAGCCTTTGTAAAAGGATTTTTAGACATTTTAATGTCTAGTTTGGCTTTGTAAGGTTTCACATTAAGATTCTACATACTGTTCTACACGGTGCTTTTATTTATTTACTTATTTTTACTTAACACCATGTCTTGGACCTCTTTATCAGCACTTGATCCAATTTGTAATTGTGCCTAGCATTAATTCCATACTACTCAAATGTCCAAGTTGGGTATAGTTGACTGCTAGCTACTAGTCAAAGTGCTCTCTAAAGCTGCTAGTTCATATGCACATCAGCTGTTTATGTCTTATCATTCTTCCTTGCTGAAACTAGATATGATGAGGAAGAGAAACTATTGCTTTCTAAAGGGCAGTGTTTCTCTGGCATATTCATTTACACATCACTAAATCCCAGTGAGGTTGGTGATGAATAATACCCAGGCTTTTTGAGTTGTGGAGTCTTCCTCTCAAAAACTGTTGGTAGGAATAAACATTCGTGTGATCACTCAAAACAGCAATTTGGTCACGATGCTCAAACCCTGGGGCCCAGGTCTTTCATTCTCTTGGACTTACTGCTACACAAACATACATGTACATAAAGGGATAACTTTCTGCTATGTTCACTGCCACAAAATACTGGTTAAGAACCTAAATGTCTACCCAAAATGTCTACCCAAAGAGTAACAGACCAGCTGCACCAAAAATGCTGAGTGAAAAAAATCAAGTTGCAAAATGATAGCACAGAGCCTACCAACTATGTCCATTTTAAAAACATAAAGCTGGTTGAGGATATATACTGATACTTGTGTGAATGAAGGTATTTCATGGGAAGAATTTGCCTGTGCCTGACAATTTTTATTTCTGAGATGGATTGGAAGCAATATGGCCAACAGTTAAGCTAGTTCTCTCCGTGCAGGGAGGTACCTCTATTTTCTACAGCACTTTGCTGGCATATTCCTATTTGTGTTGCTGTGTAAAGATGTGTAACTAGCATATAGCTTTATTCTTTCTACCTATTCTCTCTGAAAGCTTCTCTTAGGTACATTTGAATTCAGTCATCCCTACAGTTTGGGTTTATCTCCACCACTGATTTCCTATGGCTTATTACTATCTTCTTCTCTCTAATTTTCCTTGCCCCCAAAGTATACACCTTATATACCTTATTCCTGTTTCTTACAATTTTTTGCTGCTTTTGGTCAGATCTCTAGTGAAAACTGAAAATTTTTTCTGCAGTTGGTTAGACCAAACACTGCACTTTTGTTGCAAATGCAAGGGATCAATCATAAAGTTACCTGGTATCACCAGGTCAGACAAAAGCCAAACGATGCCATTTTACTGTGGCAAACCAAAAGAACTTTAATAAACTTTCAACAGCACTGCAAATACAAGAACATATAACCCATTAACATGCAACAAAAGTGATTTCTGTCTTTTCAACATATTTAACGGATAAACTTGACGTTACAATGGAGATCAACATAGTCTATTGAACAAATATGTGAATTGTTTCAACTTTCGGGTTAGAAAATGTATATTCTTACTGCAATCTCAAGTAGCATTTACAAAGTTTAGTTTTTCCTTTCTAACTTCTAAAAAGACAGGATGATTTTTAAATGCAATTATACACAACTGTTTTCACATCAGAAATAATCACAAGGAATCAACAGGTTTTGTCTAATTGACACCAATTGGTTTCATTGCCATTAATTTTGAAAGAGGGATCCTGGAGAATTGTGGATTTTGAATAGGGAAATAGCCAGACTCTGGCCAGAGCAAAGAGCCTTGGCCTTTAGAGTGGGGGAGGGAACATGCAGCGGCACACTGGGCAGGTGCCAGACTTCTGCAGCCAGATGGACACGCATGGCTTGTGGAAATAGTGGTGGCATGGCAGCTCAGTCGCCACTTCCCCCTTCATATATTCACTGCAGCAGATAGGACAGCACATTTCCTGGCCCACTGCACCATGATCTTCTGTGACCAGGATCTCAGGAAGAGCATCAATGCTCTCCTTGCTTGCCGGTGGATTAGCTACCTCGACATCCACAGCAAGGGACTCCAAGTGTGCAAGGGCAGTCTCCATAGCCTGGGCCAGGCGCTCTTCAAGGGCCATGTAGGTGAGGAACTGAGGATCCACGTAGGAGATGGCTTCGGCCACTCCCAAGCCATCTGCAAATCCATCAAACAGGCTCCAATCCACTTCGAGGTCTTCGCCCACGCTCGAGTCATCTTCAAGATTGTTGTTTCGGTCCAGCAGGAATATTCCAGGCTGCATCAGCCCATGACTGGACTCATTATCCCCCTCACTGCTGCTCTCATTCTCATTGTACTGGAGCCAAGTAATTTCTCCTTCTTCCAGAGAGGCCAGCCCCTCTTCCTGAGATGCTTCTTGAACTTCTTCGAGATGGCCGCTGCCGCTGCTGCTGGTGTTGCCACTGCTGGCACCAGCACTGGCCCCTGCCCTGGCCACAGCCGTGGCCCCGGCTGTACTCACACTCCCTCTAGCTTGCTGAGGCTCCTGTTCCTCCTCGTTTTCTGGCAGGGCTTCCCAGTTTCCCACACTGGAGGGCTGGGGTTGCTCCCGGTTTCGGTACTTGCGGCGGAGAGTAGTGATCCACTCTTTGTCGCTGTCAGACTCTTCATCATAGGACCTGTAGTAGTCATCAGGGTAGGTCCAGTAGTCGGGGTTGACCATGACCCGTCGCCGTCTTGGCACTTTTTCTGGCTTCACCTGGTCCTTCCTTCTCTCTCTCTTGTCTTCACGATACTTCGGCTCAGAGTAGCTACTGGAACTCTCGCCTCGGCCTCTTCTTGCATGGCGATTCACATGGAGCTCGTTGGCACCAGCTGCATCTCTCCACCTGGAAGTACTATGTGGTACATCGTCATCATCATCGGTATCAAAGAATATTTTTGGCTTCATACAATTTGCAGTTGCCAAATTCCGGACTTTTGGCCTCACCACTGGTTCCTCTGCACTCTTTGGAGTGTTTTCCCTACCGCCACGCACACTCACAGGAGCCCTGCTGGGATGTACTGGTACATTCTGCCCCCTTCTCTCCCTCTCCAAGCCGGCACGTTTTGGAGCAGCCCTGCCTTCAGCAGAAGACATCTGCGAGGTCACACGATTTTGCTTCAAGAACTCAGCTCTGCCAGCAGAGTACCTGGCAGCAGGACGTGACACTGCCTTGCTACGCTCCCCTCTCACATCACGGTTAAAATTAGAGAAGCGGGGTGGCACCCCCGTCAGAGATCTTGCCCCCTTCTCTGGATCATACGGCTTCTCATCCTTAAACTTGCCAGTTTTCCCTCTCACTGGCAGTCGGTCACCAGGCCCAGCCCCCTCCTCCTCACTATCCTCTGCCCCAAAAGTGTCAACATGTCCATAAGCCATTCCTCTTCGACTCCCAGAGGATCTGAATTCTCTTGGAGGATACCTGGAATAGTCCTCATTCTCAACATTCAGGCTGGCTCCTGAGGGCTCACTGTCATCCCAATCACGACGTGTGGTGGTAAATGGCGATCGGCTCCTCTTCGTTTGGCTGGAGACTGGTCTGTGCATTGGGACTTCAGATGTGGTCCTTCTCTGGCTGGAAATCCTTTCCTGCTGGCTCATGGATGGCCTGAAACTGACATAAGCATGCCTTCTTCCATACCTCCTGCCTGTATTAGACTGATACCCTCCTGCTGGTTTGGGCCAAAGAGGCTTGCTAGATTCCTGACCCATGGCTCTGGCTCAGGAGGGTTTCCAACACAGCTGGGATGCAGGTGCTCCCTACACGTGTTTGAGCTGGGATAGTCAAATCAGTTCAGGACAAAGGAGTAGGGAGATCTAGTTTCACTTCAGCAGGCAGGTAACAGAAGGGATAAGGGGCCTTTAAAATTAGTTTCACTTTCTTCTAAGGCCTGGAGTAGCATTCCAGTGACTGTCAGGTGTAGTTGACCTGGAACACATTTTTAATGTTGGCAAGATGATTACAAGACTGGGTTTGCAGGAAAACAAGACTGAGTGGAGAATGTGACAGAATGTGGGGAGAGGGTGAGTGGATGCTTGGAAAGGAGGTGTACTGTGGAATTATGCTTACATGGGGAGAGGAAAGCCTGCTGTGGGGATATGGGGGTATCCTTTTCTGAGAACTGCAGAGATTGAAGAGAAATGCAATTAGAATAGAATGGAAACTATAAATCACTGTGTACATGAGTGCCTTGTGTGTCTGTCAGGAGAGAGACAGGTAGACAGGCGAGAGCAACAGTCTTGCAGGACAGGGATTCCTGTAGAGGGGATGGGTGTGGATATGAAAGTACAGGGTAAGGGTGGGGTGGCTTCAGAGGGGAGGGGTGGCTTTAGTGGGGAGGGCTCCAAGTATGAGAGAAGAGAAGTGGCAGTGTGCCTGCAAGTATGGCAGCTGGCACTATAGACGAATGCCTGAATGCCTGTGCTGTGTGCATATCATAGGCAGGAAAGGGAAAGGATATTGCTGGCAATGAGGAAAGTGTACAAGAGTCAAAATGGGAGACAACAATGGACAGAAGAAAGCCCTGTAGGAATGTACGGCAAGGAGAACAGAGGCCAGCAGTCAAACAGTGTCTGCATGTGTCACTATGGCAAGCAGGAAGAGGGTAGCATCCCCAAAGGATCTTTTTGAGTGTGAAGGTGCAATATGGGACAGACAGAACAGAAAAGCATTTGAGAAATGTGTGGGACCCAGCTTGTTGGGTGTACATTCATGTGTGGCAGGCAACAGAAGGAGTGCTATGCATGTATGTAGCACGGAGGCAGGAAGGTGGCCCTGTGTGTGCGTGTGCGATTGCTCAGGTTAGAGCACAAGGTGGGGGGAGAGGAAGGTTCCCGAGGTATGAGTTAGGTGAGGGGGCGGAGGCTGTGTGAGAGGGCGCGTGCTTGCCTATTTGCGCACGCGCAGGGGAGGGGATCTGCTGGGACCTTAAGGATGCAGGAGCAGGGACAGGCCTGCAAAGAGATCTGCGTGTTCCGGCCTGAGTGCTTGCGTACGCGCGCGACACAGAGGGGGGATGCGATGTCATAATAAGAGACAGGGCTATGTTAGCAACTCAAAGGGAAAATCCACATCGATGTGGCGGGGCAAAAGAAAAAGGCGTGTGGGAACATAGGTTTTCCCCGAGAATACTGGATTTTTCCCTGTTAATTCTTTTCCTGGGAAAATGTGTACCTACACACCTTAACCATTTGCCATTTGGCGAAACAGCAGCAAGATGGGGGCAGAAGGGCCAAGAGTGCTCCGTAAAGGGGCCGCGTGTATAGGGAGGAGAGGCAGGTTGGGACAGCGGAGGCTGCGACCACCATTCCTCTCATCCCCTCGCAAACAGCCTTGAATTGAACGCCACAGGGGCTACGGCTGGTTGCACACTGAGGGATGCGGAACCCCCGCCACCCCCCCCTTCCCCCACACCCGAGCCGAGGAGACCACGGGCCTCGGCCTGCGGTCAGGTCCCTTCGCTCCACCTCGGTTCCCGGGCGAACCCGCTAAGGGGTCATTCCATCCGCCCCCGCCCGGCAGCCCTCGCCCAGCCCACCCAGGCCGCCCTGCACTCACCCTTCGAGACGGCCCCGCTCTCGCAGGCAGCGCGATCCTCTGACCTCCCGACGCCGCCTTCGCCGCCGCTCCTGCTCCAGGTCTGGACTCCTCCTCTGGGCCCCGACTCCTCCTCCGACTGAGGGCAGCGGGGTGGGCGGAGACTGTGGCGGAAGTGATAGTGACGTCACTTAAGCCCGCCCCCCCGTTGTGGCGTGGGCGGCAGCTGCTGTTGGCTAATCAGGGTGGGCTTCAAAGCATTTCATTTGAAATGCTGAGATTGTCAGGGATGTAGAAAAGGGCAGCGAGATCTTTAACACAGCGATAGCGAATGTTAAACATTACCCACCTCTTCAGTTCTGTAAAAAACATAAAGTCACATTCAAGGTTGCAGTAAACTGCGATTTCTAAAATCTGGTATTTGAGGCAAATGGAAGGTGTCTGCAGTGGAATTTGTTGTTCATCACAAAGCCAAGCATGCCTACCCAAAAGGAAAAGGTCACTCCCGAAATGCCACACATGTTCACATTCTGCGAATTGCACCACAGTTTAAAATATCATAGGTATGCCGTTTGGGTTTGCAGTTTCCCTGAACTCTTTCAAGTACAGGAGTGCTCAAGGCACTGAAATGTAGAGTTCCTAGTCCACAGCAGCAGCAAAGATTTGCTCTTATGGGAAATACAATGTAAGAAAACAAAAAAGTTCAAGGGCTACAACACAAATAAGATGCACAAGCTTCAAGCCATTAAAAGAATAATATGTAGAGCTAAGAGAAAAAAAATCTAAATAAAACCATAAACAAGGGGGGTACAGACAAGAAAGGATACAGAAAGAACAAAAAAGCACGGGAGTAGGGGGGGAGTTGTTATTTTGAGACAGGATCTCATTATGCAGCTCAGGCCAACCTTGAACTTGCTAGGTAACCCAAGATGGCCTCAACTTGCAAACCTCCAACTCTTAAATGCTGAGATTACAGACATGTACCACCAAGCACAAGCACAGCTGAGCTCTTGTTTTGGAGACAGGGGCTCCCTGTAGCCCCAGCTGGCCTGGAGCTCACTATGTAGACCAGGCTGGCTTTGATCTCGCAGAGATCTGCCTGCCTCTGCCTCTGCCTCCTGAGATTAAGGGCCTGGACAATCATGGACCTGGCTCAGCATTTCATCTTCAAAAATCCAGTTACATGCTATTTATGTGGGTTTTACCTAAAGTAGAAATAGAAATGAAGTATATGCCAGTTGAACACTGAGAGGGAAAAAGGAAAAGAGGGAGGTGAAGGAAAGAACTAGAAGAAAGGGAGTGACTGAGGAAGGGACAGAGACCAAAGGAGGAAGAGAATTTGTAGCAATACTAATCTAAAAGTAAATAGGTTAAAGTAAAAGGCATCAAAGAGAACAAAAGTTTGTTTCAGAGCACACAAAAGATAGGATAATCACAAAATGTATGCGCCCAACAATGTGGTTTCAAAATACATGAAATCACTGCTGTTAGAATAGAGACATCAGGAAGGCTGCAATTGTAGTCAGTCTTAACCCACACTTCCTGTGGTATAAATGGATCAAGCAGACCTGTAC